CTCATTTCCCATTATCAGTGATTGGCACGTTCTGGTAGGACATACCCTTTCATCGCTGCGTTATTAGCGCCTCCCCAGGTTTCTCTCTGGGGCAGCGTCGCGATGAGCGCCGGCGTCAACGTCGCCACTATAGTGTAAGCATTTAGGCTCACTGCTTCGCATTTAATCATGGTGCCCTTTAACGGGACATTGTGTAATTTTTAGAACGCGAAAGTATTTTATGCCACGGCCCACCAATATTTGAATGAAATATTTGCGTTACAGAAGAAACGTCGAAAAATTACGCGCGGTAAGAAGACAAAGAAAAGAAGGTTCCTCATCGGAAGTTGAAACCGTGATCCCTGGATGCGCGGCCACAGATGGCGGGCGCGCTATCTAGTGTTCCAAGGTCACATGCAATAAACGCTCAAAGTACGCCTTTCAGCGTCCTCTCAGCGTTCTTGTTAAAGTGAAGTATTGGATTATGAGCGTGGGATCCACGATCAGTTTCATCAAGGGACTGTTTCTAAGCGTCCGTCTCATTCGGCGCGTTTATAAGAGAAGTATGTGCAATTTGTTCAATGCTAACACACCTCCAGAAGGCGATATTACTGCAAGCGTCGTTATCGCTCATAGCATTCATTCATAACAAAATTTAGCTCTGCAACGCATAGAGCACTCCTGCTTCGTCTGATTGTACTAACTTCACATTCGCCACTTCAACTAGCCCCACAAAAAATCGTGGCCGGCCAACAGACAAGACACACCGTGCATTGCATTTGCCTATGGTGGGGCAGTGGCGTTCAAAATATCCTACATGCGGCGAGTATGGGGCATTAGCCCAAATTTGGCGTGCACTCGCCTTCTTGTGGCTGTCACATCGTTTTCTCTGGTTCCACACTCACGTATGGTCACTAAGGTTTCTTTAATCGTTAATGATTGATATCAGTCGTAGGACGGGGATGTATGACTAAGCATTAACCTGTATGCATCCACTTTCAACGGTGTCATGGCTGTCAAACACGAATAGACATTGTGCACTACATAAATTTAAAAAAACTATACTGTAAGGATACGTTTTATTCTTGTGTTTTACCAATTCTTATGACGAAGGGATCAAATATGTTATTATATCCCATTTCCTATCGGTCACGACTACGATTACTAATCACCGCGCCTCTCTGAAAAGCATAACCCGTAAAGAGCAGTTTAAGGCTGCCTTACCCAGCTTGAAACCAGACATTAAAGGTGTCCTCCTGGCTAGGACGGACAGGACTGCCTATAGCTAAGGTGTGTAGCAACCTCTACCTGTATCTATCGTTCTGTTTCTCTCCATTCAAAAAGGTAAAACTCGTTTTTAGCAACAACACGAAAAAATTGTTCTTCAAAACGTGCACACGAAATAAGATGAAGCGTATTAGGTGCTGTATGAAGGACCACAGCTCCTTGGCCGAGTTTTTCTTTTGTGCTAGTCACACATGTCTTGACAAAACTCAAACAAACTAAAAATGCTTTATTTTTTATCGTAGCGATACGTGTGCACACTCAAAAATTGGGGGACCCTTAAGCTTCGCCTTTAAGAGTTGGACGCCATAGCAAAATGCGGCCCTTAGTGAGCCCTTCGACTGCTAAGTGCATACTTATTAATATATTTTGTTTCATACACATGCACACATATATGCACACAAAGCGCGCACTCAAGCACGAGCGTTTGAAGGCACACAGACACACACACGCGCGCGCGCGAATGGTACATACAAGTTTTTGATCTAAACCAAGAGTCGCTTGGCCTCCAAGATACACGCCGCGCACTTGCCATTTCGTTGGCCATAAAGACCCTCACAATACTCACAGATGGCAGAACGTTATGTAGCGTTAGATGTTTGCTTCGTCAGCGCCTCTGGAAAGACATGATCTGTTTTCCGCTTGATGGACATAGTTGTCCATTTTTTTGAGCTGTTTGAAGTTTCTCTGTGTTTTTAGCGGTGATGGCTGCACTATTCCGGCCTTTTTTGTAGTAGTTTGATGGCCTCCCAAATATTCCTACAAATCACCGAATGCGCTTGTTCTCGTCGTGACACCTGTCAAACAAAATGCGTTAAGGAGACTCTTTCCACTACATAGCATTTAGTGCCGAAGCATCTGCACGTAACACTGTGGCTTGGGTCAATAAAGAAAAAAAAAAAAAACACTGTGGCTTGGTGGTATAACATCTGCTTGCCACGCGAACGGCCTGGGTTCGAGCCTCAATAGGACTGAAAATTTCATGTATTTACGTGTTTGCTTCTGTCTCGAGTTGTCGCTGACAACGAACGGTGCCGACGCCGACGGCGGAATTTCTGCGACACGAGCTCTCTAACGCTATCGCGTTAAAAGTGGAGTTGGACCTGCAGTGCTATGCATATCATCCATTCGGCCTGGTAAATGGAAATTTTTAATCTTGAATGGAAAAGTGATGTGGAATCTAGAGGCAAGGGCAATCTTAGTTGTTATGCGATATCTAACTCTGAATGAAATGAACCGAAATCACGGCGCCGGTTAGCGCGACATTTTGCGGCTAACCTTTTTCACCCTTGCTAAAACCGTCGCATACGAAGACGTGTACGTGCTATGCAGCACTCTGTCGGAGAGTTCCAGCGGTGAACGCACAGGCGCACCACATTCTTTTTTTGTTTTGAAATGGAATGTTCTGACGTCATGTTATTTCTTTATTTTTCTACAATAATGGCTTTCGAGAATCATGCATCAAGCATGCTTCTGTGTTTGCAATAGAAAAGTTTGATGATGACTATTTAACTTAGCAGGAGCTTCGAGATTTATAGATGTCCATGCGCGTGACTTTTTTTTTGGTTGGTTTGTGTTATATCTCAATAAATGCGAAGCAGATACAGCTTAAACATCTCTATCTTTATAGTATATATATATATATATATATATATATATATATATATATATATATATATATATATATATCATAACGCGAAAGAACAGGCATGCTTTCTAGCGTGCCCACCAAGCATTATCAGCCTCAATCCATGGGCCATGGTGTCATCAGTTAAGCTTGTTGCATCCTTTCTGTTGTGCCTCTTTTAATGTGTATGTTTGTGTATCCAAGCTTTACACTTACTTGCGTTGATTTATCGTCACCGTTACCACGAATATGCATGCCAGACTGTATTTGAACGCGCACGTGCCAATAAAGGCATCGACTGCTCATCTTTTTAATATCACAATGACTGAGCTGTGTATGCAACGCACAATCGGACTCTTATGTCACGCAGCGTCTTGATATTTTCATGTTCATGTTTGCATTGTTTTTTGCCCATATCTACCTCCGCTTCTTACAGAGATGTGCTGTGTGTACGAAGAAGTGATTTCTGTTCTTTAGTGTTTTACATTTCTATATATATTTTTTCGCGTGATATATATAACTTTACAGTCATGAACACTTCACGTATGAATGGTCTATATGTCGCTATCCTACACTGTTTCATGTATATTGTATTTGTAAGGAAACGCGCTGACGTCATGTACTCGTTACCTTGATAAAGGCTGGTCTACCAGCCAAAATGTCAGAAAATATACCGTGCAAAACCAACGTGTGTCCTACTCTATTTTTCCGTATGTATGTATAAGTATATATATTGAGAAAGTTTCAGTAGGCCAGTGTTTTCCAAAGTTCAATATAACGGACGAACATGTGCAAACTTTTTATTCCAATGTTTCAGCTGGGTTCCGCCCCGCCGTGGTGGTCTTGTGGCTAAGGTAGTCTGCTGCTGACCCGCAAGTCTCGGGTTCGAATTCCGGCTGTGGCGGCTGCATTTCCGATGGAGGCGAAATTGTTGTGGGCCCGTGTGCTCTGATCTGGGTGCACGCGAAAGAACACCAGGTGGTCCAAATTTCCGGAGCGTCTCTCATAATGCGTCTCTCATAACGATACGGTGGTTTTGCGACGTTAAACTCCACAAATCAATCAAGCAGCTGGGGTCTGGCCTTCGTCAGGGAGTACAAGGCATAATAGAATGGCACTCATTATGTACTGGGTACAACAGGGCGCCTCCTTCTTGCATGTATCTATATCCTCTCTGTCATGATAATTAGATGTGAACATTCGCTCGATTTTATTGTGGCATGAAGGTGTGACAAAACTTGTGCAGAAGCCATACTTTGCAAAAAAAGACCTTTTTTGTATAGGCGCTTGTATATATAAAAACAAATAACTAAATAAAGGCACGCATTGAGGAAAATACAAGAAATCTACAACTGGAATGTGTCTTAAAAACACAATATTAGCAGGTGTAAAGCAAACACAAACAACGGTTACATTGTGCAGTGAAGATGTGCGACAAGATGCGCGACAATGGGCCAACATAGGTACACCTACAACAAACATACAGTGAGGATGTGGAACAAAATGCAACAAAATTGGCTAACATCGGTATACCAACGACGAAGTAAAAATGTGGAACAAGATGTACAAGAACCATTTCTTGACGCACTATAAGAAGGATATTGCTATCACGTTCAACATTTAAACGCCAAGCATAAGGATGCCCAAAGTTTTTGTTTCAGTTTATTTACATTTTTCTTTACATTTTGGTGACTGGGAAGATAGAACACGTGGGCATTAGGAAATGAGTCAGGCTGTCCAATGGTGTTTAATTAGGCTATGTTTCTGCATTGATGACTTCTGCATCAACGAGCTACATTGTGAAGGTTTCCTTAAAGGAATCGCATTTCATTCGCCTTTATCTTGCCCCACTTCAGTTCCGTCATTGATTACTTCATTCTTCCATCAGAACGGCTCACCGCTCTCTCATAGTCGAGTACGAAGTGGTCAAAGTTGGTTAACACTTTTTCTGAACATACGAGGACAGTTTGGGTGATCTGTGTCTGCTCTTTTCTCAATATAAGGTCAAGTTGTCTTGATGTCGCAGCATTGACGTACTTGGCTAGAAAGGAATGCGTATAAATGAAGCGCGACACAATCGAACAGTTATTTGTAAGCGTGTACGTGTATCAGTGCCAATAGAGAGAAAAGATGAGGCTTTATCTCCTTCATGCACTGCTCATATATGTCTTCAAGTTCGCCTCAAGCGGTAAGTGATTTGTATGGTATGCGTTATTCCTTCGACATGTTATGAGCTAGGATTTTCATTTGCACCTTTTCCAGAAGAACTAGAGTAAAATAACAAAACAATATACACTACCACGACTCACGTCTTCGAAAAGTTAGACGATGCTTCAGCTCCGTGTTCTAGAGCAAAAGTGCTTGCAACACGTGGCCCAATTCACATAATTTTATCAGTCGATTACCTGGTATGCTTTCCTGGTGGACACCTCAAGTGTGATGCAAGAAAAGGAACTTCTATAAGTCTGTAATAGGGCATCTGAACTATAATATAACACCATGCACAAGTGCTCTAGAGAAGTGACTATGACGCTATAGTTCTTCCGTTCGCGAATCAACTAAGTACCTACTAAGCGTCCGTGACACAACACGCTATCCTGGAGAGCTGCAGAATTTCGTGATGATTCAGCTATTGATGATGTATAAATATTTCTGAGCGTTTTGTAATGAATGGGCTTTCAAACAACGGACTGGCTGTAAAAATGAGATCGATTATTATCTGGCGCAATTGTACGCTTCCGCTACTTAAGATAATATACGTTGAGAAAAATTCACTTTTCTAGGAAATAGCGTTTCACGATAAAGTGCAGCCAGATGTAGCGCAAATGAATTTTTAATGAATCCAGCACCTAACTTAGTGGGCTAGGCCTCCAACATTGATACGTTAATGTATCGGGCCCAGAGGGAGGCTGCGTCAAGTCACCCACGACCTAAACGATTGCCTGCTCACGGACTCAACGAAATTAACGCGCAAAGGCAACAGTATGTGCCGAGATGCTACCCCGGACATCACGCTTCTGCGCAGCGTGCACGATGCGCGTTGGTCTGACGCGCCTGAGCCCATCTGCAGGGACGAATAGTCAGCGCCATTCAAGTCTGCACTTCCCCGTGCAAGACTCACGCACGCACGGCCTGCCATAACGTGTGAGACATGTTTCGGGAACGCCGAATGCTCTCTACCACCCTAAATATTGGCGAACGTTTGTCGTCGACAAACCAGTAGCTGGTGGACGTCTATGCGGTGACCCCGTTCATTCTCCCCTAGGGGGACCACCCAGCAATTGGCTCTCCCCTTGCCCACATCCGGGCTGTTCATGCGGGCCTCACCAACCGTAGGCTTAAGCAAAAAAAACTATAGCTTACGCAGTACATCTCACATCCCGGCCGTGGGACCGAGACACAAACCATCGTGCTGGCGCACACTAATAGAAGTACAGAGAGTGTTGTATCCTGTATATAGTACCTGTAGTTTCGGTTTCTGTGTTTAGGCTGGCAACACTGGGTCCTTGTGAGTGTATATATTTGTGGAACGTCTAATAAAAAGGAGAGTATGCAACCGCTACACGTGAGTGCGAGTCATGTCACTCGTTCACTACAATGGCGACGAGTGTTTGAACCCCGTCTGAGATAGTTCCCGGGGGATAACCAGCCACGCCCCCCAGATGGCTTTCGCTGGCATCGCCCCAACAGATCCGTTCCTTCCGACACCGGGTCGTCCCGTGCAGCCATGGTTCCGATGGCACGACATGTTCAAGGTCTATCTGCTGGCGTCCGGTGCTTCAGGGTTCTCCCCAGAGCGACGCAAGGCTCTCCTACTACATTCCTTGAGACCCGAAGGTCAACGTATCCTCAATACTCTGTCTATTTCGCAGGCGGCCGAAAAGACTGAGGAGGAAGGGACCGGAGCTACGCCCGACGTGTATGACTCCGCGGTAGCGGCACTGGCTAAGCACTTCGATGCCACCTGCAACCTGGTCGTCGAGCGCCACCGATTTCACTGTCAAATTCAGTTCCCAGGCGAGTCTATTCAAGAATACGTGACTGCGCTAACAGAGCTTGCCGCGATGTGCTCATTTATGTCGCAAGAAGAGTCACTACGTGACCAGTTTGTTGCCGGTGTGTCTTCGCATCGTATTCGGGAACGTCTTCTGTTAGAAGGGTCTTCGCTTTCGTTCAACAAGGCAGTTGCTCTCGCGAGTCAAATCGAGCAGGCAGCAGTGGAAATGAAGGAATTTTCCGTCTCTGTGCAACCAATATCTGCGCAGCCTGGCACAAAGGCGGTTCATCGTTACAGTCACCGAATTCACTGCCGCGTGCTCGCACTTTCAGTCAACGCGATAAGGCAGCTACATCGGGGAACCGCCCGCCATCTCGACAGCGCTCTCCATCGAACTCGCAGCAACTCGCAAATTCTCCGTATTGCTTCAGGTGTGGTTCTAAACAGCATCGCGCTCCTTGAAAACGCTGCCCAGCTAAAGGAAAAAAAATGCTTCTTTTGTGGCCGTATCGGACATTTTGAAAACGTTTGCAACCAGAAGCGGTCGCACGCAGCTGTCCACGAGGTTTCAGTACATAGCCCGTTGCAGGATGAAACCGTCGAGGTTCTTGTAGTTCAACGGCCTTTTGCATCTGGAATTCACATTAATATTCAAATCGGGCAGGTCGCTATGAAGCTGTTAGTCGATTCTGTCTCTTCCGTTTCCATTCTTTCAGGCAAGGTGTTTGACCAACATTTCTCTGGTGTGCCGCTTCTTCCTGTTCCTAGTGTGACACTTCTGGATTATTCCAAAAGACCAATTTCGGTTCGAGGCTGTTTCTTTTCTGAGGTCTTTTTCGAGATTCGCAGCGCACCGCTTTTGTTTTATGTCGTCGAACAGGGTACTTCTCTCGTTGGCTTGGATGGTATTAAGGCCTTGAAGCTGTGTATTCAAGGCTCTCAGCTGCAGTGTTTTCAAACCAGCACGGTACCGAACGCCGAAGTAGCTCGGACATGTCCAATAGAGCCATCCGTGCAGCTGCCGTCAGCACTTCAGCAAACGTTTTGCTCGCTCTTCACAAATGAGCTGGGCTTTGCAAAAGGTTTTGTTCACAGGATTAAGACACGTGCGGGTGTTCAGCCAGTAGCATCAAAACTTCGCCGGCTTCCTTTCATATTACGACCACGCGTGTCTTCCGAACTGGAGCGCCTGGAAAGCTTGGACATCATTGAACGTATCGATGCGTCAGAATGGGTGTCCCCTATTGTAGTGATTCAGAAGAAAGATGGTAGTATTAGGCTTTGTGTAGATTTACGCGAACTCAACAAGGTCAACGTTCCGGACAGCTCTCCGCGGCTTCACATGGATGAGTTGCTTCAAGCCTTGGTGGGTGCCACGCACTTTTCCAAACTCGACTTAGCGTCTGCCTACCACCAAGTTCCGCTGGATCCTGAGAGCAGGGACTTGACAGCTTTTATAACACATGAAGGGCTGTATCGGTTCAAACGCGCTTGTTTGGGGCTAGCCTCAGCACCTGCTGCTTTTCAGAGTATGATGTCTCGAATCCTTCGCAATTGTGCGGGTGTACTCTTTTACATCGACGATGTAATTATTTTTGGTAAATCAGCTGAGGAACACCTCAAGAACTTGGAGGCAGTGTTGCAGCGTATCAAAGACGCAGGTCTGAAGATCAACAGCAAATGTGTGTTTAGAGTTCAGGAGCTCGAATTCTTGGGCCACAAGGTGACATCTTGCGGTATTCCGCCACTGTCAGGGAAAGTGGACGCAATTGTGGAAACCCCAGTTACAAGAAATGCCGCTGAACTCCGCTCCTTTCTGGGGTTAGTGGAATACTACGCCAAGTTTGTGGCACACTTGCCCGAGATGGCAGAACCAATGAGGGTTCTTCCTAGGAAAGGCGAAACCTTCACCTGGTATGTTGAGGCGGATAACAGTTTCCGCGCGGTAAAGGAGGTATTATCGTCAGATCTTGTCTTGCACATGCTTGATCCTGCGCTTCCAATTATCATTTCCGCTGATGCATCTGAATGTGGTCTTGGAGCAGTCCTTCAGCAGCACGCCGATAATAAGCTTCGTACTGTTGCTTTTGCATCCCGCACGATATTTCCGGCTGAAAGAAAGTACGCAGTTGGCGAGAAGGAAGCACTTGCATGCATTTGGGCATGCGAGCATTGGCATGCATACCTGTGGGGACGGAGCTTCACTCTCCGAACAGACTACCAGGCCCTCGTTTCGCTTCTGTCTTCGCAGGGCTCAAGCCAACGCCCACTTAGAATTGCACGTTGGTGCACAAGGCTACTACGTTACAATTTCATGGTGGAGTACCAGACAGGCTCATCTAACAGAGTAGCCGATGCTCTTTCCCGGTTACCCGTTCATATTGCAGATGGAGAGGTGACTTTTGAGGAGGAAATTGTTTCCATGGTTCAACCAAGCTGCCTGACCAAAGAGCAGTTTGAACAAGCGGTTCTTGCTGACGCCACTCTTCAAAAGGTGAAGGCGTTTGTAAATGGGTCTTGGCCGTCACACAGAGACTTGCCGGAAGGTCTGGAACCATATTTCAGAGTTCGAGACAAATTGTCAGTGGTGAGCGAATTGTTGTTGCGTGCAGAGAGGCTTGTAACTCCATCATATCTCGTGGCTCAACTTGTGGCAACAGCACATAAAACTCACCAGGGTATCGGACGCACCAAAGCCAGACTTAGGGAGCAATTTTGGTCGCCCCGCATGGACAGTCACGTGGAAGAAGCAGTCCACAATTGTAGCATCTGTCAAGCAGCAGATATATCGGCAAAGACGTCGCCTGCCCCGCTGCAACCTGTCGAGCTACCAGAGAGACCATGGCAGAAACTTGCAATGGATATCGTTGGTCCCCTGGAGAGGGCGCCTCCAGATTGCAGATTTGTGCTGACACTCGTAGATTACTTCTCAAAATGGCGAGAAGTACAGTTTTCAAGGGCAATTTCTACAAGAACCGTGACCGAGTTCCTGCTCAACGTATTTGCACGGGAAGGCTATCCTGAAGCGACAGTCTGTGATAATGGGCCCCAATTCACGTCAAAGGAATTTGTCAACTTCCTACAAGAACGAGCGATCCGCCTGTCGCACTCATCTGTTTATTACCCGCAGGCAAACGGACAGATCGAGCGGTTCAACCGCACGTTCAAGACTTACCTACCACTGGCCCGTC